TAAGTACCAATGGAATTGCGGTCAGGTCTTTGTAAAGACCAATTGGTCTGTATAGAGACCACAGGTCTTTATAAAGACCAATTGGTCTGTATAGAGAGCACAGGTCTTTATAAAGACCTCTGTTGTCTCTATACAGACCAATTGGTCTGTATAGAGACCACAGGTCTTTATAAAGACCAATTGGTCTGTATAGAGACCACAGGTCTTTATAAAGACCAATTGGTCTGTATAGGGACCACAGGTCTTTATAAAGACCAATTGGTCTGTATAGAGACCACAGGTCTTTATAAAGACCAATTGGTCTGTATAGAGACCACAGGTCTTTATAAAGACCAATTGGTCTGTATAGAGACCACAGGTCTTTATAAAGACCAATTGGTCTGTATAGAGACCACAGGTCTTTATAAAGACCAATTGGTCTGTATAGAGACCACAGGTCTTTATAAAGACCAATTGGTCTGTATAGAGACCACAGGTCTTTATAAAGACCAATTGGTCTGTATAGAGACCACAGGTCTTTATAAAGACCAATTGGTCTGTATAGAGACCACAGGTCTTTATAAAGACCAATTGGTCTGTATAGAGACCGCAGGTCTTTATAAAGACCAATTGGTCTGTATAGAGACCGCAGGTCTTTATAAAGACCAATTGGTCTGTATAGAGACCACAGGTCTTTATAAAGACCAATTGGTCTGTATTGAGACCACAGGTCTTTATAAAGACCAATTGGTCTGTATAGAGACCACAGGTCTTTATAAAGACCAATTGGTCTGTATAGAGACCACAGGTCTTTATAAAGACCAATTGGTCTGTATAAGTTCGATACTATTCATTTTTTACTCCAACTTTACTTATTATTCCTAATTTATGATACAAGTTAAACAGAAAAAGCTTCCGACATGTCCTGAAGACCATTTTATTTTTCTACACTGTTGATTACCAATGTTAATTTTCATGTAAACAATCAAAAATCAATATTTGCTCGAACAAAACCCCGAACCCAGACTGAAAGAAAGAATACGAAAGAAAATTAGGGCCAATTTAAACAAAAAGAAGAAGAAGATAAAGAACAAACTGTCTGTAAGTTTTAATTAAAACTAAATAAACACACAAGTACTAATGATGTTGCCGTTCCAAGTTTTCAACAAAAGAAAGAGGGTATCAAAAACAGAGAAAAACACGTAATGTGTTCTTCGTACACACACTGCCACACACATACACGAAGACAATGTAATAATTCATTGAAGCGTTAAAATCAATCAATTTTGTATAGGAGATTCCTTAAATAAATTCAATGGAGGGGCACTTTATACCACGCCCAGCCGTTTTTATAGCCGAGTGGAGGTATTCTAGTTTTTTTTTTTTTTTGTACAGCAACATTAATTTATTGTTTGCTTAAGCATACCATCATTAAATTTGTATGAGTTCCTTAATGTTGGCCTTACCCAGTTGTTCAAAAAATATCAATTGTCTGCTATTATATAGTTATATAGCTAGTTACTTGGTGATCTAGTTACTTCATACTCCAAAAAGGAACACAAAATAGACAGTTGGATTTTTTTGTCAATTGAAAAAGTTGTCTACGCACATCACACCAATTCAGTAGTTACTGGTAATGCAAAGGGTAATGAATCGACTATCGAAATAACTATATACTGGTAACGCAGGCAGGGGACAATTGACTTCCCCAATGACATACCCATGTTAAATTCACCAGTCTAGGGCATGAAGTGGTAACTAGTGGTACTTACAGGTAATTAGTGAAATATCTAGTTCATCACCAGTTACTCGAACTACTGGGTATTTCAATATACCCTACACAGTTATACATATGTATGCATATTGAAAACACTATTGTAACCAATTATTTTATACCTATTGGAGTCTAAAATCGTTTAGAAATAAATGGCTAAAGTCATAAATGCATGTGCCCTTGATCTAAAATTAGATAACTATTTCATTCCAAAATATTGTTGTGACATTGATGCGTAAATTCTCGCGGGATTTTACCCACAAGGAAATAAACAAATAAATAAGCATAAATAATAGTAACAGTTTTGACACGCGGACTATACATATCCAACAAAATTGAAGCTGTGGACCGATTAGTTCCATCTTTCAATATTACACAGGCATGGTCGGATATTATAAAATAAATTTTCAGCAAAATTTTAATAATTTTGTATGGTTAATAGGTTTTGTAAAGTTTAGTTTAAATCGTACATTCCTTCCCATAGCATCAATTTTATAAATATTGCAAAAATTTAACCTTTGTGGGGGAGGTACCATAATAAGTGACCCATGAATTCCATCTTCGGACTTGATTTAGGCTTGGTCGTGCTAAGTGTGGTTCAAATCATACATTCCATTCGTCTAATATTGAATTTTTAGATATTAAAAATGTTGACCATTTGGATGGTAGGTAGGTGTGTCCGTGCGTCTGTCTGGGACATTTGCAAATCTACTCTAAATTGTCTGAAAAGGATTTGGACCAAAGAAAAATGGGGTTTAAGACCAATATTTCGATGAGGCACATTTTTGCCGTATCAAAATGTATATAACCATATTAGCCTTAAGGCTGAGGGTATAAAAATCTATCGAATCGATAATTGATGGTCATTATTAACTTTTTTATAATACAATTCATGTCTGGCTTTGGTATGAACTAGATTTTTTTACTACAAACGAAGTTAGAAAATAAGGAAGATCTTGACCGATTAATTTTATCCTATGATAGCTAAGTACATACAGAACAATGTGTTAACATTTCAAACCGATTAGATTATAAATTTTTGAGTTACCATGTAAAAACAATGTTTCGAGAGATGATGATGCTGCCGCAATAAATCGGTTATATCTTCTAGAATTGTTGAGATTTTCACATGAAACTTTAAAGGGACATTCTTGAATTAGTGTAGGTTCAAATTAATTAAAAAAAATAATTTTTTGAAGTCGTGATTAGAGGGATTCCCTTAAGTTTATCCCATTACATGGTGCAATATATAATTTGTATACCCTTCACCACAATGTGGCACTGGGTATTATCAACTAGACACATGTTTCCTTTTGAGAATATGAATAGAATCACTTTCTGAGTCGATTTATGCATATCCGTCTGTCTGTTCATGTTATATTGTAAATAAAGTACTGCTGGCATTTATTTAGATTTTCGTCCGATTAAATGTAAATGGTGTAACAAAGTCCCTTTATATATTTTGATTTGGACGAAATTTAGCATTGCGCAATGAATTAAGTCTAGATGGATATGTGTAAAGTCGGTGCAGAAATCGGTTCAGATTTAAATATAGATCCCGTATATATGTTCGTCCGATTTAATGTAAATTGTGTACCAAAGTTTTTATATATCTTTCTATTTTCACGAAATATGGCATAGCAAACTGAATAAAGTCTAGAATGACGTGTGTTAAGTTTCGTGAATATCGGTTCAGATTTAGATATAGCTCCCATATGTATTTGCGTGCGATTTAATGTAAATTGTGCACTAAAGACCTACAATGTACTAAGTTCTTGCAAGTGTCATTGAAATTTGTTCAGATTTAGATATAGCTTCCACATATATGTTCGTTCAAATTTATGTAAATGGTGCACCAAACTCCTAATGTTTGTCCGATTGACACAACAAGATAAGGTGTTTGGTTCGAACGTGTGTCTGATTGGGATTAAATTTTTGAGCAGTGCGACATACCGAATAGCGTGTATCAAGTGTGCATTAAATTGAATAGTCCCATTCTACTCAAACGACTTTAAATCTGCCCGAATGAAATGAAATATAGCATGGGTTGCAGAAAGGCATGTGTATCGATTGATTTTAGTCGGTCCACTTATAGATAAAGATCACATATTTAAGATCGTTTAATTTCGTGTTGGGATACATATGTAGAATATACCAAAATTGGCGAAGGGTATCATATAGTCTGCGCAGACCGACTTTACTACTTTCCTTACTGATTTTATTTTATTTTTATGTTACTGTTTTTTTCCTAAATTGACGTGTAAATATTCGTTATGCATATTTTATTATACCAAAAGGGGACCGAAAAGATCTCTTCTGAGAGTCGATAAAATATTCCTAATCCGAATATTTTCAAATGTCTTGGAAATGGGAAATATTCAAAATCAAAATAAAAATTTCAAAATGCCGATATACGTGTATTCTATTTTAAGCCCCACCAAAAAAAATGAAATATTGATATTCGCGGTAATCAATGCTCAACAGCTCCTGAGGTGTTATATCACAATGGAACGACACAGTCAACAATTTTTATTAAAAACTTAAAACATTATATTTAATCAATTTTTTCGAATGGTAAAAAATTAAAGGATGTACACAAATTACTAATCACAATTAACTGATAACTGAAATATGAATGCCCAACATAAGAAACTCGTAGTTGCAGTGCGGGAACAGACCAACTATAGGGTACCACATTTACAGCCCCTAGTATTATTATTTCCCTGTTACTTGGACTTTATCTTTAAGTTAACTTTGAGTAGGGACCAAGAATGAAAAAGAGCGTTTTTTTTTGCACTACATGTTTTGTGGGAAAGTTTGTTTTTAACTTTTTTTTACTTTTTTCTTAGGATTGTTCCTCATCTCGTTTTTATTTCTTTGTTCTTTAGCAAATAACTTTACGTTCTCCAAATTTCTTTCATTTTATTTTCAGAAAAAAATAGATTCAAAGACAGAACACAAAAGAAACTTCACCGACAATTTGCTAAAAGTTAATACGTTTGCTGCAAATACAAATACTTGATAGCAACAAAAAAAAAGAAGGGGTTTCAGGCAGTTTTCCTTTTCGTTGAACCAGGCAAGCAGTAGCAAAGAACATAACCAGAAAACTGAAAACTTTTAAATTTTAAACAATTTTAAAACAACCAAAGAAGGAAGTCTAGAAGACGAAGAAGAAAATTCCACATAGAAACCATCAACAACAGTAACTACAGCAACAACAACAACAAGCAAACAAACAATTTCCACAATGCGAAATTATCGTACAACAACAGATGTTCGTGGCGGCGTTGATATCCGGCCAAATAGGAAATGTTTTCCATTTCACGGATGTTTATTTGCCCTCCTGCTACTGTTGATTGCCATAAATGTTCCATGGGCTGAGTGTCGTCCTAGCAGCGATGAGGATGAATGGTTGCCACAACATTTCAGTGTCGATGAGCAATTCAAGGATGCCGATAATTTGGAGGTAAACACATACGCACACATACACACACACACGTGCGACAGTTAATGGTCACATGGGTGGGCTAGCTGACTGACTGACTGCCTGACTGTTACTGTCGTCATAGAAAATTAAAAATCCGAAGTAAACTCATATTTTTATGAATCTCCTTTTCTTTCTTCGTTTTTCTCCTCACATCGTATAGATACACCATGTCAAGTATGTCGATGGTAAAATGGAAGAAGACCATCCGGTTATTATGTACAAAGAGGATTTTGTTGATGAAGATTATGGTGAGTAAAGAAAAATGAAAAACAAATACATATATTTTTGAGAGCGTTATTTATAGTACATAAGATATTATAAATAATTAAGATATGGAACATTGGATCCCTTACCAGTTCCTATTTATTAAAAATCTCACCCAATCATAAATTTATTTGTATATATTTTTCTTTCAGTCCCCTCAAAGAATGCCACCAAACGTCAACGCAAATACAAAGACATAACACATCGTCGTCGCCAAAAGACCACACCCAGTCCCGAAGTGGAAAGTGAAAAAATCTACTTTGATATTTTGCCTGAAACACCATTACTCGTCGAGGACGAAGAGGGTAATGTAAAGGCACATAAAATCCAATATAAACTTCTGCCAGTCTCTCAAGAAGTCCATGATGAGGATGCCACCACCAACAAAGATAAACTCTTAAAAAGACCCAAAAAATTTCATCGTCGTATAAGACGTGATTTGGCTGCTATAGCTGCAGGTGCCGATGGACATAGCATACGCAATAAACGTAATCCCTATTTCCGTCATCATGCTCCACAAAATATTGCCGATGTTCAACAGCCTGTTCAAACTCATTATGTATATGTGAAGTAAGTATGACGATAGTAACACTGACGGATGTCTTTTAAAATTTATTAAAATTTTCAATCGTTATTAGGCACGCTGTTCCAGGCAAAAAACATAATGCCCTTGATATTCCGGTAGAAGGACCCATTGATTTCGGTAACCGTTTCGGTGATATTGACGAACCGGATCGCGTTATCTTTGGCCCAACACGTAAATAACGAAGATTTAATTCAATAATTTTATTAATGACGTTTTTATGAAACTTTTCAGCTACTCGTCCTACCAGAAGACCCCAGGAATCAATATTCCGTGATCCCAGACCTGAAAATTTTGATTATAGTTTCATGAGTAAGTATAAATAACTTAAATGGACCGATCTTCCATTTTTTTGTTTTCTAAAAAAAACCAACTCCTGAGATCACCAGATCTTTTCTATAGAAAAAAAACGAACTCCCAAGGTCGTCAGATTCGTTTCTATTAAAAAAAGACCTGACTCCTAACATCGTCAGATTATTTTATATTGAAAAAAAGAACTGATTCCTGAGGTCATCAGTTTTTTTTTCTATAGAAAAAAGAACGATTTTTTTTTCTATAGAAAAAAGAACTGACGTCATTTTTTTTCTATAGAAAAAAGAACTGACTCCTGAGGTCGTCAGAATTTTTTCTATAGAAAAAAAGAACTAACTCCTGAGGTCATCAGATGTGTTTCTATAGAAAAAAAACTGACTCCTGAGGTCATCAGATGTTTTTCGATAGAAAAAATCTGACGACCTCACAAAGGTCTATCGATTTTTTCTATATAAAAAATGCCTCAAAGATGTGTCTTGTTATATAGAAGAGGTCTTTCGATCTCCCAGGGGTCTTGCGATATTTTTCTATATAAAAAAGACATCCCAGAGGACTTGCAATTTTTTATAGAAAAATTACTCCCAGAAGTATCATATTTATTCTATAGAAAAAAAGATCCCCCAAAGGTCTTGTGATTTTTTTCTATAGAAAACAGACCTCCAAGAAGTATTGCAATTTTTTTCTGAGAGGACTTACGATATTTTTTCTGTAGAAAAAAATACCTCCCAGAAGACTTGCGATTCTTTTCTATAGCAAAAAGAATTCTGTAAAGGTCTTTCTATTTTTCTTCTATAGAAAAAAGATCTCACAGAGATCTATAATTTTTTTCTATAGAAAAAAAACATCATAGAGGTCTTTCGATTTTTTCTAAAGAAAAAAAAAAAACCTGCCGAAGGCCTTTCGATTTTTTTCTGAAGAAAAAAATACCTGTCAATGGCTTTGCCAGAAAAGGCCTCACAGAGGCTATGTGACCCTTATCGTCTCTAACCCAACATTCGTGAACTTTTTTTTAGATCCCCAATCACAACCATCAACAGAGGGAACCCCAGTAGTAAGTCGCCGGCCTGCTGCCACACGTGCTCCAGAGTCAATTTTCCGCGATCCGAGACCCGAAAACTTTAATTTCTCATTCATGAGTAAGTATAGAAAATATTTAACAATTACTAAATAAATATGAAACTTGGCTTAATCTGATATTCCTTTCATTCTAGATGGAGTGCAACAAGCCTCAAATGTGCGTACAACAACAGTTGCCCCACCACCGGCCTCTAATGCTCGCGCCGAACCGACTGGTGTATCACAATGTGTTTGGGCCATCGTAAATTGTTGTTCAAGTCGTAATTCGGAAATTCGTTATTCCTGCTTTGAACAGAACGGTTGTTATGGAGCCTTCTGGGGTTTGAATCCGTGTGCCGAACCATTGCGTGATAATTTTGTTAGCTTTGTGGCTGATTTTTATAATTAAAGCTAATGGAATACTCGTGAGAGAACGAGAGAGGGAGTGTGTATGGTAGGCAGTTTAACTCGTTACAGGATGACAAGTGTGTTCGTTATTTCATAGAATATAAACAAACGGTTTGCTGGCCGTTAGCTTGCATGTTATTCGTATTTAAGTTAGTATAGAATCTCCTTTATATTTTGCTCAATGTCCCTTATTGGTACTAAAAAAACAAAACCTCTGTACTTAACCAAAGTTTTCATTGGAATTTTTAAAATGTGTTTTTATTTTCCAGTTTTCTTGAGAATTATTTATAGTTTTTAACTATGTGCACAAACAAACACACACAATTATAATATAAGAAGAAGAATAACCCAAATATTAGATTTTTCTATTTGCATTGTTTTGTCAATGACCTCGAAAGTTGTAAAGTGCATTTAAGTCAATTGTTTGTATGTATGTAGCTGTTTTACCGGTTTTGCAATACAATCACAATTTAATTACAAGTTACAAAATATAAACCAAATATAATTTTGAAACTAATTAAAATAATATCGAGTTTTATTTCATATTTTCACAATAGATCATGCCCTTACACTACTTTTATGGAGCTATAGTAAACCTCATGTCTATACCGACAAGTCATCTGCAAATGTCACATTGAACGAATGCCTGCATTGCAGAATTTATGGCCGAAATGTTGGAAATTAAACTAAGCGAATCTTTAAACATTTCATTGTATAGACTTAAATTATAGATTAATGGATGGATTAAATTATATGGACTGTACCATCGATTCAAATACAGATTTCATGTGCTTTTTATACCCTTCACCACACTGTGATGCAGGGTATTATGTCTTTGTGCATATGTTTGTAACAGGTAAAAGGAAACGATATAGACACATGGTTCCTTTTGAGAATATGCATAGAATCACTTTCTGAGTCGATTTATATATGTCCGTCTGTCCATGTTAAATTGTAAGCAAAATACAGGTCGCATTTATGATCAATTTTGCACAGCTCATTTATGTGGCCCAAGGTCGAACACTATTGAAATTGGAAAAAAATTGTTAAGATTTACAAATAATATTTTCGACAGATTTTAAGTAAATTGTGCACCAAAGACTCAATGTTAGGCCAAATGACACAACATTTTGCACAGCGTACTCAATTAGGTCCAGATTGATTTATGCAGTTTTGTCCGATTTAAAGTAAATGATGCACCAAGGACCCAAAATATGGTCGATTGGCACACAATTTTGCACAACTTACTGAAGTTTGTGTAGTCTAACGTGTGGCAAATATCGTAGAAATCAGTTCAGAGTTGGATATAATTTCCATATATATATATATATATTCGTCCGATTTTAAGTATATTGTACAAAACTCCTAATGTTTATCTGATTGACATGAAATTTTGCACAACGTACAAAATTGAGCATAGAGTGACGTTATTGCATTTTGTAGAAATGCAGATATAGCCCACATATATTTTCGACCGACTTCATGTTAATTAATTTAAATAATAAAATAATTTCTCATTTCAAGGTGTGGCGTCTCATGGACTTATTTTGAAAATGAAAATATGCTATTCACCCGTTCAAGAACCGAAATACCTATTTACAACCACTTCGGTTGGAACAAGCTAATTTTCTAACAGAAAATTGAACTTTATGTGGAGGGTTATATGTCAAAATACATATATATATATATATATATATATATATAAGAGCTTAGTGTTAAGTGAGTGAGAGAATGAGTGACTGACTGACAGATCATCGCCCAGACGAAACGGCTAAAGCTAGAAGCTTGAAATTTGAGTGTGGGTTGTTGTTGGTGTTTAGGCGTGAGATAAGGCTGGGTGTTTGGAAATTCGAGCTAGAAGGTTACGAAAAGTACTAATATGTACGAAATATGGTACAGTTTTTGGAAATTCGTCCTATAAGTGTACTAAAAGTACTACACTTTACTAAATTTAGTTCTAATTGTACATATATTGAACATATATAGCTAGAATCTTGAAATTTCTATGGAATACAGGTTGGGATGTAGTGTTGATACATGGAAATGGTTTAAGGTATTCGTACTTATGTGTTTATACTAAATGGTACTAAATTTTGTACTATTTGCATTTAATTGAACGTAAAGATATGGAATCCTGAAATTAGGATTTAGGTCTACTATTGGAGTTCAGGATTGAGTTAGCTTTAAAAAATTTTACATATGTGTACGAAAAGTTCTTAATGGTACTAAATTTGGTGCAAGTTAGATTTAGGTGAATATATAGAGCTGGAGTTTTCAAATTGGGAATTAAATTGAGTGTTGTATTGAGGTAGTTTAGGAAATTCGTACTTATTGGTACGAAAAGTACTATGGTGTCAAATTTAGTACAATTTGGATTTTGCTTGAAAGGATAGAGCTGAAAACCTGAAATTTGGAATTAAGATTACTGTTGAAGATTGTGCTATAGAGACAGCGGAGAGAGCTGGAAACCTAAAATTTGGAATAATGGTTGCTGTTGGAAAATAGAATTGAGATATGGAAGCATAGTACTTATGTGTACTAAATGGTACTATATTTGGTACAACTTAATTATGTGTGAACGCATAGGACTGGACTCCAGAATTTTGAAATTAAAATTAATTTTGGAGTGTAGTTTAAATGGTTTAAAGTTTAGTACAATTTAGATTAGAGTGAAGGATAGAAATGGAAAACTTATATTTGAAAATAAAATTACTGTTAAAGTACAGAATTGAGACAGTTTTAGAATTTGAATTCATAAGTACGAAAAGTACTAAATGGTGCCAAATATGTGGAATTGAGGAAGTTTTAGAAACTCGTATTTACTTCTACGAAAAGTTGGTGAACGGATAGAGCTGGACTGAGATAGTTTTTGAAATACGTACTTATGGTTAGATTTATATAGTTTTGAAATATAAATACGAAAAGTACAGAATGGTACCAAATCTAGTACAATTTGGTTTTTTATGAACATACAGAGCTGGAAATTTTAACCCTTTCAGTGTGTTTGTCGAATATATTCGACATTTAAAATTGCTCTCTTTCTTTGTGATTTTTCCATTATCCTATGTACCGTTACAATTGATGTTTTTGTTTTTGCTGAAAGACAGACTAAACTGTCCGAGGGTTAAAAAAAGTTTTTTTTTTAACTCTGTGCCTTAATATGATTATTAATACAAAATTTTAGATTTTTATTCCGACAAAAATTTTTTTGGACACTGAAAGGGTTAAATTTGGACTTACGATTACTATTTAAAATAAGGTTGAGGTACTTTGGAAACTTGTACTTATGAGTACAAAAAGTACTAAATTTGGTACAATTTGAACTATGGTGGAATTAAGATTATTGTTAGAGTGTATGATTGATGTAGTTTTAAAAATTCTTATATATGAGTATAAAAATTACTAAATTTGGAACAACTGGGATTTGGTTGAATCCTGAGATGTGGAATTTAGATGACAATTGAAGTGTAGTATTGAGATATGGAGACAGCTTTTGGAATTTATGTGTACGAATAGTAAATAGAATAGAATAGAATAGATTTGGGTAACGGAGAGAGCTGGAAACCTAAAATTTGGAATGTGGTTCACTGACGGAGAATTAGAAGGAAGTACGAAAGGGTTTTTGATAATAAATTTAGTGTTGTTGGTACGGAGGTAGTTTTGAAAGTCTTATGTGTTCGAAAAGCACCAAATGGAACTAAATGTGGAACCTGTACGTAAATATATAATTGGAATTCTGATATATTCTAAAACCGTGTAATGGAAATAAGAAAGAGATTTCGGAAAATAGTGCTTATGTGTATGAAGTGTACTAAATGGTAATAAACATGATATTAGATGTAGGAATAGAGGTGGAATTCAGAAGTATAGTACAACAAATTATAAAGTATTCACGACTTCCATATGATTATTATTTAATATTTTCTTTTTGTATTCCCTTTCCGTATACGAAGTATCGGGCATTTTGCTAGTAGTCTTATATTTTGTCAAGGTGGATTTCCTATCTATTAATCAGGATTATCACGAATGTTTTGATTAAAGTGGAACATTAGCGTTGTAAGCTCTATATGAAATATTCAGACCTCTGTCGGGATTTCAATAGAGAGACATACATTGTTAAATCGGCATAAATGAAAATATAGGTAACATACCGAAAAATTGACCTATACCCATAAAAATTTCAGCTATTTTAATGGCGATTTTTCCTAAAATCTCAAAACCCCAACGCGTGGGACGATATTGATAACGCATGGTTGGGTGGAACATGTGTATAAACCCATAAAAGTACTGCAATTTAGAGGAAAAAGTAAGGTAGAATAATTACAAAAGATCGTCTTAGAATTCCATATTGTATAAACTGACAATTTCGTGTGGAAAACCCTATATGGGGACAACACTAACGCACGGATGGAATTAGTTAGCTATTTTAATATAAAGGAGATTTATTATCATACCACAGGCCAAAATAACGAAATAACAATTAGGTAGAAATATGTTTCCATAACCATATACTCATAAGTACCGAATATTGGGGCTACCCTAAATCATAAGCCGATATTGATAATTTTGCGTAGGCAGATCTGATAGCCAAAGGACATCCAAAATGCCAAATGGTCACATTTAGTACTCAATAAGAACCTAATGTGCCAAACTACATGGAATTCAGTCGAAAACGCAAATTGGGGGGTACCGTTTTATGAGGGTTATGTCTAAACATGGACTCATATAGCCCAACTTGACCTGCCTGCACAATTCTGTGCAAAATTTTGGCGATCTATCTCAATTCATTTAGAGGCTAGAGTGATTTCAACTGACAGACGGATAGACAGAAGGACGGACAAATCGCCACGAAATTTAACGCTGAATAAGAATACATTTTATAGGGTCGGAAATTATTATTTCGATGAGTAAGAAATGAAAAAATACATAATAAAACCACCATACTGTGGTGGCGGGTATAAAAATCATTGAGAAAATATTGTTAAAAACGCCTACAGATCTCATAGTCATCGATTTCGAATATGGTAATATACAAAATGGCCAACATTTTGAAAAAGCCGTATATAATATTTTCCGAGTGGAGTATCCGATTTCCTATAAACTTTGCTAATCGTAATATTGAATTTTGAAAATCCTCCTTATATTGTCTGAAAATTCACGCATACACCTTTCAGCTCTATTTCCCCATTACTCATTGGAGCTTAATTAAGTGAATATAATGAATTTTCTCAAACTACAACGGTCAATTATATTTTGAAACAGATTCCAAAATGTATCATGTTGGCAAAATCCAAATAAAATATCAAAACTAACAATCTCATGGGAAATATCTTCTAATAATATTTCTGTGGTTAGTAATTTAGCAATGGCTCACTAACACATACATAAATATTTGGAACAAAAGGAAATCTTATGTTTTGTTTTTGTATTTGTTTTGGTCCATCACCAACCATTACTTTTCTCACCTGTACTGTGGAAATGTATAACCCAAAAAATACACAATAACAGGAAACCGGATGAATGAAATTCGAAGAAAAGACAATGGAGCTTGTCGAGAAGCAGGACAATGCCAGGGTACACACAACAAATATGGAAATTTATCTATTATTCCCCAAGGAGAAGGTATAAACAACAACAACAACGCCAACAAAACCAGCTGGAAACAATACCACTTCTGCTAAGGTACTATTCGGTAACTTTAGTGCATTTTTGCTAAAGGGAAACCACAAATGTATGGTAATGAAGAAGACGAAGAAGAGAAGACATTTGGAAATAGGTGTGTATATATGGGTGTGTGTGTAGAATAACTATAGAATATATAATGCATGTCCGGATTCTTTGCTGCAATTAAAGTTTATTTATGTAAATATGGTTATTTATATGAGGTTGGTATGTATTATTAACACATACGAATGTGAGTTTATTTATGTGCTCGAGCTAAATTATGTGGTGTAAATAAACATACCACAACATAATATATTTGTTTGGAAAATGCTGGACAGTAGACTGGTAGTGGTTATGGAGAGAATGAAAATAGTAAATGTTGTTACTTTAGTTATAATATTATAGAAGTAAATGAAGCGGAAAAAATATGGTTTCTTAAATAAACTAAAATTCTTCAAAATAACAAAAGGTGAGGCAGACCAATGAAATGTAAAAGTTAATAAGATGTCTATGATACTTATTATTTTTAATCAGACTATATAATAACCTTCATCATTGTCGTTAAAAATGTTCATCATATTGACCTCCAAAGTTTATTTTCGTGGAAGCTTTGTTTTTGCATTTTTCTTCTAGCTCCAATGCCTTTATTATGGAATTGTTGTAATCGGGAATCTGAGTAATTTGATGGAGCTTCACAGTAATATCCATCCAAAGGTGAACATTTTGTGCTATAAAAATTCTATCTTTCCCGCGAAATTTGTATATCTGTCATTTGATTGATTTGTATTCCGAAATCTTTTTATGTTCCGGACAATATAAATAAATACTTAGGTGAATATACAGTACCGGTCATATAATTAGCACACAACTGAAGGGAAAAGGTGTATTGATTAATACTCGATTCGTTTGAAATATTTTTTTATTCAAAGCGATTAAGTGTAAGAAAAGAAAATTATCACGGTAAATTTATTATATATAACGGTATTTATGAAACATTTCAAACTTAAATGCCGTTAATATAAAAAAAAATATTTACAAAAAATAACTTCGTGCAAATAAAGTCTAATTAACCATTTTCAGAAGCAAACCCAGTAAGAAAAGTTCAAAAGTCGGACGGGGCCGACTATATGACACCTTTTACCACTTTGGGTACATACAAGAGATGTTAATATTTACAATATCCTGTAGATGGTGCCATTGAGATGTGCTCTCTAGATAGATGTTTGAACCAATTTAAAAAAACCCCATGTACATACCATTCTGAAATCAATGAAAAATTGCATGTCAAACGGACAGACTTGTTTTCGTTGGTGTATCATTTGTATGAAATCGAGTAAAAATATGTATGAGAGCGATATATATATATATATATAAACAATGGACCTAATTAAGCAACCGTTGCATACACCATTTGTTTTTGTTATCACTCTAAATGCAATGCAGACATCAGTCTGGACCTAATTACCTGTACTTTGTTCACAAAAATACATGGACGGACAGACAGACGGACATGCGTAAATCGACTCAGAAAGTGATTCTATGCATATTCTCAAAAGGAACCATGTGCCTATCTTGTTTCGTTTTGCCTGTTACAAACATATGCTCAAAGACATAATACCCTGTACCACAGTGTGGTGAAGGGTATAAAAATATAAAACTAGTGAGCGGAGCAGTATAGTCGGACGGGGCCGACCATATGATACCCTACACAACTTCCACAAAAACATAACTTTCTGTGGTTCTATATTCTGAGCTTGGGCAATATTTCGCGATATTTGCACCCTCTTGATTTGCACATCGAGAGGTCAAAAAATATTACAAATATTGAGTACAGTTCTTCTAATTACTTGTCCAGATTCCGGTACTTTGTTCACATTACACATAATTACATACATAGATCGACTCAGCTATTCGAGATATGACGATGGGTATACTTAAAGGTGGGTATAGGACCAATATTAAAAACTCTTGGGGCTGCACTAAGCTTTAATACCCTGACGGCATAGGGTATTATAGCTTTGTGTATTGTATAAAATCTGTAAAATCTATTTAAATTGGCTATATTGCGCACTGTAAATCTAAAATTGGAAGGGCCCGCCTTAGTCTAAAAAATTAATATACAAATGGACCAGAAATTACTAGAATAACTAGAAATCAAGAAATATTTATAAAATGGAAACAAAATTCTAAATGAAAACTTAACCGATTTTTAGGAAACTTATATCTAATACATTATTCTAGATTTAAGCAAGTACGCCATGCCATTTACATTAAATCGGACGAAAATATGGGCGCTATATCTAAATCTGAACTGATTTTCACGAAACTTAACACATATAATTCCAGGCTCAATTTAGTACGCTTTGCCAAATCCAAAGATGTATAGGTACTTTGGTACATCGGAGGAATATATATCGGAGCTATTTCTAAATCTGAAAATCGATTTTTGCCAAATTCAATAGGGTTTGCCAAACAGAAGATCTGTGCCAAGTTTCGTCCAATTCGGATCATATATGCGACCTGTTCTTTGTTTACAATTAAACGTGGACAGACAGAGGACGGATGAACGGAAAGTTCAGAAAGGGATTCTATGCATACATCCAAAAGTAACCATGTGTCTATCTCGTTCCCCTTTGCCATTATATATACAGGGTATAATGTATATACATCAGGGCTGTCCACACTAATACATTCAAGTTTTGTGATTGTATTTGTTTGAAATACAAAAATTTCAAAATTTTTGTTTCTATGTCATATACTGTGAGAAATTTTGTAAAAATATTATTTTCAAATTTTAGGGAAGAAATCTACTTTATATTCAATGCAAATATAGCTGTTGATGATACATTTTCCCATATAAATATATATTTGTTTCTGTTTTGCCCTCCCGGCCACATATTGCCATTATATATACAATAAGAAATGAATGAACATTTTGAAAATATTTTTTTATTTTCAAATGTATATACAATTATATACACCGACAGCCCATGGGACCTATTTTGGGCACTGCTGATATACATTATATGCATTATACCCTGTATCACAGTGTGGTGAAGGGTATAAATATAACTGAAATGTATAGGTTTTGGGGATTTTGTGCACTTTTCTCAACCAAATTGAATTTAATTTTGTATTTTGAAATGTTATAAAATTCCCTTCAAAATATTACAAATTTCAGTCTACGCTCTCTCGGTCTCCGCACCTGTATTTGTCTTCGCCCCGACTCGGTCTCCGCTCCCAATCTTCTTTATTTTAAGTATAACAATCAAGGTCTCTATCGAGTTATCTCTAGTTTAAAAGTATGATTTCTCACTGGCAAGTGCTCCTAATAAAAATT